CTGGGGTGGTGCCCCGGGTGGCCCGCTTTCTGCAGGGGTCCGGACCCCCGCGCAGCCAGCCCCGCCCACCTTGCTGAGGAGCCTGCGCCAGTGCAGCCGCCAGAGCATGAGGGCGATGATGAGCAGCAGCAGCAAGATGATGGCCACCAGGCAGCCGATGAGGATGGCGGTCGGGCTGCCCTCCGCCTTGGCCACGGGTTGCTGGCCGCGGGGCTCCAGCTCTGGCAGAGGCAGAAGGATCAGCACCGAGGGAAGCTCCCGCCCACCGGAGGGGGAGCCCCGGGGAACAGGACCGCCCCTGGCTGCTCACCCAAGCTGCTGAAGTTGGTGGGAGGCGGGCCGGGCGGCCACCAGGGGGCCGGGGGGAAGGTGCCCCCCAGAGCTGGAGAGGAGCCGTTCACCACATCTGGAGAAGGAAGAGGAGGAGAAGTTGAGCGAGAAGCAGGGAGCCAGGGAAACCGAGCCAGGGCGGGGCGACAACTGTGCCGCCTCGGAGCCAGCAGGCACGACAGAGCTCTGGACACCCCGGGCAGTGCCGTCCCCGGGGTGGGGGGCTCCACGCGAGCTACGAGGCTTGTTTCTCAGCCAATCCGAGCACCTCAGAGATGTAAAACCCGTCAGGCACGCGTGAGGGGCAGGGAGTGGGGAGAGAGAGGGGCCAGCTGTCCCTGCTCCATGGGTGTCCACGGGGCTGGACAGACGGGACCCCAGGTCACCACAGGGCCGGGGCTGGGCTCACCGGAGATGAAGGCGATCTCGCTGAAGAGCAGCCAGGGCCCCGCGAAGAGGAAGCGGCACTGCAGAAATTGACCCACGCGGCCGCCCAGGGGCACAGAGATGGCCCGGGCCCTGGGGTCGCCCAGGCTTCCCCCCAGGGCGTGGCGCGCGGGTTCCCCCTCCCAGGCCACGGCGGGACCCCGCTTGAATCGGCACTCCACCCCGCCAGGCAGGCGGGCGCCCAGCGTGTGCATGTTGTTGCCGTGGACCTGGCGGATGGAGAAGGGGCAGAGTCAAGGACAGGCACAGGGAGGACCCTCTGTCACCTGCCCCAGCTTCGGAGCCCCCCAGCAAGCGCCGGACTGGCCCACCTGCATGGCCTGGAAGGCCCTGAGCCGGTCAAACTCGAACTCCATCTCCACGTATCCGCTGGGGAAGCTGTGGTTGCTCCATCCCACGTAGTCATACCCTGGCCAGACCCGCAGCTCCTGGCTCTGCCTGAAGTCGTCCAGCCCTACCACGCCATCCGCCAGCTGGCCGAGACCCCCGTACTGCAGCCTGAGAGGTGGGGACAACAGGATGGCTGGTTGGAGGGGACAAGGCAGCAGCTTGCAGAGGCCCTGCACGCTCCCCCAGCTGCCCCTGTCCACCTGGCCCCCCAGGCACTCTGACGTCATGCAGCTCTCTCCCCTCCCCTGCACCACCCCTAGGCCGACAGGTACCGGGCAGGCCACAGGCTACAGAAAGGCAGCACCTTGCAATCTGTGGTGTGTGTGTTGTGCAGCTCCGGGCAGATGTGCCTTCCAGCTCGCACTGAGTGTCCCGCAGGCTAGCGGCCACCCTGCTGCCCTTGTCCCTTGCCCTGTCCCTTGAGACGGCCCCCGCCACCCAGACTACTCGCCAATACCCTGCCCAACCTGGCTCCCTCCATTCCCGTCCACAAGCTCAGGACCATGCCTCTCACCCGCCCACAATGAATCCGTCGTAGGTGGAGTCGTTGAGGTTCACAGCCTCGGATAAGTACATGGTCTGCCCCACGGGGGATGTGTAAGACAGGAGCCCATCTGGAGCAGGGCAGGAAGGGAGGTCACCACACGGGCCTCCGCCCTACCCAGCGTCAGGCCTGGGCAAACCCCCGACCTCACAGAGGCAGGAGCCAGGATCCCGGACACCCTCACACTCAGTCGCCACCCCAGAAGCAGGTCCCTGGGGGGCCAACTCACCCCTCCAGAGGCAGCCGTAGAGCTCCACCCGCAGGCACACACTCATGACCCGGTCTGCTCGGGGATAGAAGCGAACCAGTCGGGCTACCATGGGGGGCCCGAGGTCCTTCAACACCACGCCCCCGGGGTCCTCGTTACCTGAGATCACCTGTGGGCCAGGAAACAGGGTGCATGTGTGGGAGGAGCTGCGGCCACTGAGGCCTGTGGAGGGCGACACGCCCAGGGCTGTGCATGGGGTCTGCACAGAGACCTCGGCTCTGCCCACATCCCTGGCTCTCCTCGCCCGGACCTGTCTGTCTCTGAGCGTTCGCACCACTGCACCCGGGCCCTAGGCCACCCGTGGAGCCCTGCACCCTGCTCCAGCTCTCTGCCTGCTCCAGCCCATCCCTTCTGTTCATTCAGCAGCCTTCGGCCCCGTGCCCGCTCTGTGCCAGGCACGTTCTCAGTGGGCACAAACGCCTCCCCTCCCAGGGCTGAGACGCCAGCAAATGCAGCTGTGAGGAACAAGGGGCAGTTGTGGGGACAGAGCCCTGCGGTGCCCAGGAGGTGCCCGGGTGACCTCTTGGAGGGGCACCGGCTGGAGGCGGAAGGTCCTGCAGAGCCCGGGGGAGGAGCCTGCCAGGCCCAGAGCAGCAAGGCAAACACAGTGAGCACAGACATCCCAACCCTGGGGAACGAGCCCCGGCTTGTTCCAGGAAAAGCAGTGCAGCCAAGATGGAGCAAGAGGCAGGAGACGAAGCCAGGGCCGCCCCGGCGAAGCGCTCTGCACACTGCCGAGGAGCTGGCAGAGCGGCGTACCAGGGCAGGGTGGGAGGGTGTGACGGTCTGATTTACACTTCACTGCCCGGTGTATGTAGGGCAGAGTGGAGCTTTGACTGCAGGCAGAAACACGAATAAGAAACCAGCACAGTTGGAAGCGGGAGTTCCGCCTGCACGTCCCAGGAGGCGCTGGGAAGGCAGCACTGGTGGCCCCGTCGAAGGTGTGCTCAGAGGCGGGAGAGCCAGCCTCTCCACACTGCCCGGCAGCCTCACCTCCTGACCCCAGCGGTCCTTCCAGTCCATCCAGCGGTGGCCATCCCGGGAGTAGCGCAGCCGGTAGCTGCGGGAAAACTCCTTGCCCAGGCCACCGGCGTGGCGCCCCTGAGTGCCCACCAGGGCCACCAGGTGGAGACGCCGAAGATCCACCTGCAGGTACTCCTCCTCCTTGGGGAAAACAGGCCCTGCAGGACACCAGGCCCCGTCCCCGTCGCTGCTCTCCAACCTAGGAGGGCAGAGGTTAGTCTGCCTGGCGGGCCTGCCCTGCCAGGTACTGAACTGCAGGGCCCCTCAACTGCCTCTCTGCACAGGGAAGACAGGCAGAGGCCCGTGGCCCAGGGGCAGCCACAGGTGTGCAGGTACCTGCTGTGCCGGGCGGCAGTGGAGTCCGACCAGGAGCTGGAGACAGAGATGTCGCTGTCGGGAATGGTCCGGTCCTGCATGCCCAGCGCATAGCGGCACTTGGCTGGAAGGGCACAGACGTGTGACAGTCAAGGCCCCCACTTTCTGCCCTCCAAGCCCTCCCTTAGGGATGCAGGATTCAGTCCTCACCAGGGTCAAAATGTCCCTTCATGTCGGCGTCTCCATCTGCCAGCAAGAGCAGCAACAGTGGCAGTAGATGTACAAGGGCCCCTGGCCCCATAGCTCCTGCTGCCTTGGGCCTAAGGGGGTGGGGGCAGCATCTCTGCAGGGGACAAGAAGGGCAGGAGGGTGAGGAGGGGGACAGGCAGACAGGACGGTTGCTCTGGGGATGCAAGCAGTGAAATCACAAGAATGGTCACTGTTCAGCAGCAGCCAGCTCTGTGCTTAGCACCGGCCACTGGGCTAAACCCTTCAACAGAAGCCATATTTTATCTTCACGGCCACTTTATAAGGTGGGTGCCGTTACTACCCATATTTAACCCTTCAGAAACTGGAGTAGAGGTCATTAATGTCCCAACCGTTAAGGGGTAAAACACCCACAGGCAGCAGCTTCGAACAAACAACACATCTGCAGGAAAAGTGGACAAAAGTATAACAGAAAAGTAATGAAGACTTTCGAATTAACAAGAAAAAAAAAATATATATATATATAAACAACTCACTAGAGAAATGGCCAAAGAATTTGAATCTGCATCTCATAGAAGAACAAGGCCTACCACCAACAAACATTTGTGCTTTTTGTTTGTTTTTATTTATGTTTTGCAAAGCAGAGCTGGGGCTGATCTCAGGGCCTTCGTCCTGACTGCCATCCCCCAGCTCTTCCTTTATTTTTTATTTTTGAGACAGGACCTTGCTCAGTTGATAAGTTGCCCAGGCTGAGCTTGAATGTGCAGTCCTCCTGCCTCAGCCTCCTACCGTGCTAAGATCACAGGTGTACATCACCACACCTGGTTTACACATTTGTTTTTAAATTGTGAAAGTCACTAGAATCAGGGAAATACCAATCAGATTAATGGAAAGAATTTTTGACCCAAGTCCCTGGACACTCTGGGCTCCCCAATCGCCACTAAGCATTCCAAGCTGCTGAGATTTCTGCAGGCCATCTTGCCTGTGGTGACAGCTATGGGAGAGTGACAAAAAGCACCACCAACCGCACTCAAGGACAGGCATGAAATACAATCATCTATGTGGAAAGCAATCTCGTGCACATCTTCTGAACCCCGGGCCCCCCAGGCTTTTGAGCAAAGGGAAGAGCGCAGCCCCAGGGAGGAAGAGGATGTACAAGGGCATCACTCACTGAGGCCCTCACCAAATACGCAGCCGGAAAATTACTTTCAGGGTCAAGAGTTTCTACAGAGCTGTGAAAAGAAACAGAGTAGCCGTATGGGTCTGACTTGGGCAATTTCTCTGTGCCACTGTTGAACACTAAAAGCACAACACAGGCATATGAGAAATACCCCGCCTCCTGAAAAGGGAGAACAAGGAGCCCCTGGCTTGTGCACATCCGTGTGCACACGCAGACAGGGCGTGTGACTGAACAGGAGCTGGCAATGAACGGCACGACAGAGAAGCAAACAAAAACGGAAAGACAGTCTGGCTACTGTTTTCCTAACACCTGTAACTATGGTAACATATTTAGGTAGGGATATGGGAGAGAATATGAAAACTACTTTTATTTTTAAGTAATACAGGTAGGCGCCCTAGAAAAGTTCGGGCACTCCGTGTTAAGCACACAATGGATGACGGATGTCAGCTAAGCCTGCACCAGCAGAGGCTGGGCCCCTCCCACCACAGAGCCCAGAATCTAAGAGAACGGCAGGACCTTAGTGCCTTCCACTCCCAAAGACAGACCTCTGCAGTTGCCCAGGCCCACTGCCCTGGCCAGCGACTTGGCAGAAATGTGAACCAACCTCAGGCCCACCTAGACCCGCATCATAACGCCTCTGTGCTGAGCTGAAGTCTAAGGATCCCTACTGTGTTCCTCCCGGGGCCCAGGCCACAACCCCACCCAAAACTATTCCAAGCAGCCCCTCCTTGCAAGGCAAGCATCTACTGTCCCTGTCTGGCTACAGTGAAAGCTGTCTCCTGTCCTATGCAGGAGCCTCTACTGAACTCTCCAGGCCCTGTGGTCCTGAGGCCCCCACTGCACCTCTCTTGCCCCTACCCACCCCTGCCACTGGGTCCCCAACAATCCCTGCTTGTCGGTGACGTCCGGTCTGCCCCGGGGTCCACCTTCTTTGGTGGCTGCCTCAGAAGGAAGAGCCCAGGGCAGGGAAAAGGCTGAGTTGCCTTGGAGATGAGGGCGGGTCTCCAACAGGGAAGCCAGGTCACCCCAGGAGGTAGGAGGAGTGGGGGATACTTCCCCACCCCTTTGTCCTCCTCCAGCTGCTCCCACAATCCTCTAGGGCAGGAATGTAAGAGGCAGCTGAGACCCCACAGCAAGGGAGCAGCAGCTGAGGGGATGACTGAGTTGTGGGGGGCCCTAGGTTATCAGAGGCGAGGCGGGAACCAGAGGGCACCGTGGTCAGTCCCTTAAGGGTCCCAGGTGCTGAGCCTGGACGGGCTGCAGAGGCCCAGGAGCAGCGGGGGATTCCTGGGTGCCACTCCACCCACCCTCCCCGGGAACAGCAGGGCCCTTGTTCCTGAGTAACCTTCATGCCTATCCCAGATGAGTCACTGGAGCCAGACAGCACTGAGAGGAGCCCGGGGCAGATACAGAGCCAGGCAGAGAACAGGAGGAAGTGGGGACGGAGAGACACAACGTGAGAGGTAAACAGAGCAGAATACAGGCGCAGGGCCAACGGAGAAACGGAGCTGCACGGCGACATGTGGGGACCCCTCCCAAAGCCGGACACCCGTCTCTGGCCCCTGGACTGGGTCTCCACGCTCCAGCACACTGGCGGTCCGAAGCCCCACTTCCCCACCTGGCCCCTTTTCAGCCCGATCCAAACTGGACCTCCACAGCCCCTCCCAGGCAAGGCCCACAGAGCCGTGTGCAGACACACACGTGGGCAGGCCCACGCCCGCCTGGCGGCTGTAAACACGCCCGGGTCTCAGACCCCGTCCGGCCTCGGCCTCTCGGAGGCCACACCTGCCACGCTCCCTGCCAGCCCATCCCGAGCCGGCCACCGCACACCTGTGAGCAGCACGGAG